TTGCCAGGCAAGTCCTTGTGCCACTGAGCTACATCCTCGGCTCTTGTTTGTTTTTTAGATAGTTTTGCTGTGCAGTCCAGGATGATTTTGAACTCACTATGTAGTACTGGCTGGCTTTGAATTCATGGCAATCCTCCTGCCTCAGCCTCATGAGTGCTGAGATTACAGGTGTGTGCCACCACACCTGGCTGAAAGCATATTTTCAATAGCATGTATTGTATGTTTCAGAAAATAAATTGTTGAATAAAATTGCTGATTTTGTTCCCTGGAGTTGATACTTTTACTAAATAGCAGTATTTAAAAACATAACTAGCATTTTCCCCAAATATTTTATATGTGCGTTACCTTCCTATGTATTAAAAATAGAAAATAGCTAGTTGTGGTGGCTCACACCTGTGATCCCAGCATTTGGGAGGCTGAGATAGGAAGATCGCTATGAGTTCAAGGCCAGCCTAGGCTACGAAGTGAGTTCAAGGTCATCCTGAACTGCATAGTGAAATCTTGTTGAAAGAAAGAAAGTAAGATTAGAATTTCTATTTATAAAAAGGAAAATACATTTATAGAAATTCATTCCTGAAAACTAGTACTGGTAGAAAAATATTTCAAATCAATTAACTACTATTATCCAAACCCAATCTACAAAATTTTTTCTCCCAAATATTAAGACCATTTCTTGAGCTAGATTAAAGAAACACATACTAGCCAGGTGTGGTGGCACACATCTGTAATCCTAGCACTTGAGAGGCTGAGGCAGGAGGATTGCCAGGAGTTTGAAGCCAGCTTGCTGCTATATAGTGAGTTCAAGACCAGTGGGCACAGGCCAGGCGTGGTGGCACAGCCTGTAATCCCAGCACTTGGGAGGCTGCAGCAGGAGGATCACTGCAAGTTCGAGGTCAGCCTGGGCTACAAAGTGAGTTCAAAGCCAGCTTGAACTGCATAGGGAGACCCTGCCTCAAAAAGACAAAAAAAAGACCAGCCCGAACTATACAGAAAGACCTTGTCTCAAAAAAAAAATCAAAACACATACTAGATCTTACAGTTTCTTTGAGAAACTTTAAATCACTTCCAAATAACATGCTCTAGTTTACTGTATGCTAGTTCAGTACAAAATTCATCATTTCTGAAAGTGAAATGGGTTTGATTTTATGTTTTAAGTGGGAAAAAAAGAGCCAGGTGTGGTGGCACATGCCTGTAATTCCCGCACTTGGGAGGCTGAGGCAGGAAGATAACCGTGAGTTTCAGGTCAGCCTGGGCTACACAGTGAATTCTTTTTCTTTTCCTTCAGTAACCGGGAATCGACTCATGACCTTGTGCTTGCCAGGCAGGCGCTGTGCCACTGAGCTATATCCCCGGCCCCTACACAGTGAGTTCAAAGACAGCCTGAACTACGTAGCAAGACCTTAGAGAAAGAGAAACAGAGAGAGGGAGGGAGGGAGAGAGAGAGAGAGAGAGGGAGGGAGTATTCTAAGATATTAATGAAAATTGAAAGCTAAGAAGCAATGAAAACAACAATCAATGGGCAAAATAGTAAGACCCCACTCTGGGAAAAACATGTACAAACTGTGTGCAAATTTTTGTGCAATGCTGATGCTCTTCGAAAGTTTTCCGTGATCTGAAAAGTGTCTCAGAAGCGGCTACTCCTGGATTTCTTCCACAGTTGTGTCATCAGAGTCCCCCAGGCAGCATCAGTGCTAGTCTGAATCTTTGCAGAGTCCACAGGCCTGCGGAGGGTCAGCTGACCGCCCCGGGCTGGACGGGATCTGACCACAGCACTGCTATTAAAGGCACCATGGGAGAATCAGAGACAGCAGATGTACAAGTGAATTCACTCAGGCAAAGTCCCGGGAGCCTCACCCTCACCTAAAATGACATTCTATATGTAATAGCCACAAGCTGTCTATATGCATTTTTTTTTTTTTTGGTTCCGGGAATCGAACTCAGGACCTTGCACTTGCCAGGCAGGCACTTGTGCTTCTGAGCTACATCCCCAGCCCTGTCTATATGGATTTGATTAAGGAATAATTTAAAAACTTGACTCATATAAAAATTGTCTTATTGGTGGGGCATGGTGGCATACACCTGTTACCTCAGCATCAGGGAGGCTGAGGTAGTAAGATCACTGTAAGTTCTAGGCCAGCCTGGGCTATATAGTGAGTTTAAAGCCAGTCTGGAATACTCAGCAAGATCTTGTCTTCAAAATAAATAAATATCATTTTATCATTTAACAAGAGCATTTTAAATAACTGTACTTCCAGGTCTTTCAGAATATTTGTCAACTGTAACTCTTCACTGGTAGAAGCGCAGTATTCTCTGTGCGAAAATGTTGTTGATTTCACCTTTGGAATCTTGCTCCTACCTGTATATAAGATTGCTAACTGGAAAGGAGTGAAATGTAAATCAATTTTATCCCATAGTCATTGTCAGAGATGAAAGTGTTTAACAAAACCTTCTCAATCTGAATCTTCATAAATATGTCTGCATCCATCACCACCGAGTTTTGCTGCAAAAAAAAGGCAGGGCCAGGATATAGCTTAGCGGCCACAGGTGCCTGCCTGGCAAGTGCAAGGTCCTGAGTTCAATTCCTGGTACCAAAAAAAAAAAAGAAAATCTGGCAAAAAAAGAAAAAGGTGATGTCAGAAATGGTACTTATTCTTAAGAATCAATTCTTTTGCATCTCTTATCTTCCTCTGACAAAAATGAAAGATTCTCTCTATTATTTCCTATTCTGAGATATCTTAGTTATTCCCATGATTTTTTAAAAAAAATCCAAAATTGGTCAGGTGAGCCAGGCATGGTGGCTCATGCCTGTAATCCCAGCACTTGGGAGGCTGAGGCAGGAGGATAGCCATAAATTCAAGGCCAGTCTGGGCTACATGGTAAGTTCAAGGCCAGCCTGAACTGCATATTGAAACCCGGTCTCAAAAAACAAAAAACAATGACAAAAAAGTTGTATTATATACAGGTACAAATTCTCTATGATGAAGGTGGTCATTATGTATATTTAAAATGTATCGATAAAATCTAATTCTAAAAAAATTTTTTTAATTGGCTGGGTGTGGTGGCACATGCCTGTAAAGCAGACACGCAGGAGGCTGAGGCAGGAGGATCTCTGCAAGTTCAAGGCCAGCCTGAAAAACTTAGCAGATCATGTCTCAAAAATAAATAAAGTACACGTTACATACTATGATGAGGCCAGGCATGGTAGTACACACTTGTAATCCTAGTACTCTGGAGGTTGAGGCAGGAAGATCACTGTGAGTTTGAGACCAGCCTGGGCTACAAAGTGAGCTCAAGGCCAGCCTGAAGTGCATAGCGAGACCTTGTCTCAAAAAGCTAAAAAAAGAAAAACCCATAAATGCTACGATGAGTGGGGCTGGGGTATAGTTCAGCGGTAGTGCACACTTCTAACTGGTGTCATTTATTTATTTATTTTTTATCTTTTAGAGACAGGGTCTCACTATGTAGTTTAAGTTGGCCTTGAGCTCACTTTGTAGCCCAGGCTGGTCTCAAACTCACAGCAATCCTCCTGCCTCAGCCCCCACCCCCACCCCCGCACCGAGTTTTGGGATTACAGGCATGCACCATCACACCAGCTATTTCTAACTGGTGTCATGACTAAAATACCAAAGTAGGAAACTTGAAAATTTTATAAATTAAACAAATACTTCAACTGGTACCACTCACTTAGTGAGATTGTTTTTAAAAATCTTTTTAAATGAATTAACATTCAAGTATTAAACCAAACTCTGAAAGTTGAACTTTGTGTATATTTTATAGGTTACAAAAAAAAAGTAATCAAAAAAATTTCAATAGATCAGTCATTCACTTTAAGTAACTTCCCGGGGTACTTTAAACTTCTTATGCTCACAAATAAAATAAATAAGCACCCATTTCAGTTCTTATATTGATGGTAACCATGGTTTCTGAAAAATCAAAGAAAATTTTTAAATGACTAAAATTAGTTTTGACATGGAAAATAAACTCTCCTATTTTTGCTTTACAGATGATATGGGAGGGGATCTTACTCAGCCCTTACAGTATTCAGGATATGCCGGGCATGGTGGCACATATCTGTAATCCCAGCACTCGGGAAGCTGAGGCAGGAGGATCTTGCCAGTTCAAGGCCAGCCTGGGCTACAAAGTAAGATCAAGGCCAGCCTGAACTGCAGAGCGAGACCCTGTCTCAAAAAGACATAAATGAATAAATAAATAAATAAATAAATAAATAAGTAAATCATACATATTTAAAAAAAAATATTTTGGATATGAACTGGGCATGAGAGTAAACTCTTATAATCCTAGCACACAGGAGGCTGAGGCTGAGGCAGGAGGACTGTAAGTTCAAGACCAGCCAGAACTATATACCAAGTCCCTGTCTGAAAAAAAAAAAGTTACTATTTTTCAGTCAAATAATATATACTACTAAAAATGGTATACTTTTCTCTGTTGATCTATTTTGGTTTTTTGTTTGTTTTTTGTTTTGGTTTGGGTTTTTTTTTTTTTTTTTTTTTTTTGTCTTTTTGGGACAGGGTCTCACTATGTAGTTCAAGATGGCCTTGAGCTCACTTTGTAGCCCAGGCTGGTCTTGAACTCGAAATGATCCTCCAGCCTCAGCCTCCCAAGTGCTGGGCTTACAGGTGTGGGCCAACACACCCGGCCCTCCTCTGATTTACAAATGACTTTTTTATGCACACAGTTAATTTTAACAGCAATCTAAATCCTCAGATATTTCAGATGGGTCACACCTTGCAAAGGGGGTCTTTAGTTTAGTGATACTGCACAAAAGCACTATCTAGCAAAAAGTGAGTATTCGGCCTTCTCTTTCTAGCAGTCGGTTTCTTCTCTCTTTGCTCCTTTCTCTCTCCCTACGTGTAAGCTCCTCTCTGGCCAAAGGGAAGAGCTGTGATATTCAGTACTCAAATCCTTCTGTAACCAAAGTTTGCTTCTGCTTTTTCCAAATGCGTAATTGCTTTTTTTTTTTCTCTTTTTTTTTATCATAGAAGAACACCAAATAAAGGAAAACAAAAAGAAAAGAAAAGAGTTTACAAAGAAGAAAACCGGTTCAGAGGACGAGCCCAGCGCTGATAGGATGTAGCTGGGGTCTGACAGCCTTCCAGGAACTCACAGCCACAGACCTTGCCCCTCAGGAACAAAGGGGGTGACCCAGGGGAGCGACAGCAAAAGACGAAGGGAAGATCTGGGAAGTCAGAAGACGCACTGACTGCACACGCAGGCCAGCAATCATCGTTAAGTAACTCAGTTCTGGAGAAAGAGGTTCACGCCACGTTTGTGATTCAGCCTTATTCAAAACTACTCTACTTGTTAAAGAGCACCGCACCACCCTAGGCAAGGTGGATTGTACAAGGATTATGGCCGAAGTGGTACCAGTAATAAGTCAGCACAACCAGCAAGAGGGGCCCAAAGGATGTGTCAGAGTCTGATAAGCGAAAAGGACGGTCAGGTATGGTGGCTCACACCCTACTCAGGAGGCTGAGGCAAGAGAATAACGTTTGAAGCCAGCCCGGGCAATTTAGCAAGATACTACCTCAAAATAAAAATGAAAAAGATGTAGAGCAATTGCCTAGCATGTCTGAGACCCTGGGCTTAATCTCCAGAACAGAGAGAGAGGAAAAAAAAAATTTTAACCACCTTTCTTCCAGCTTGAAACACAAAGCCTGAACTGTTGTTTTTTTTTTTTTTTTTTTTTGGTACCAGGAATCGAACTCAGGACCTTGCACTTGCCAGGCAGGTGCTTGTGCTGCTGAGCTATATCCCCGGCCCTTAACTGATTTTTTTTAAAAGCTACAATTAGCTGTCCTAACTGTACTATTGCTTCTGCACCTGAAATAAACACCAAAGAGAAAAACTATATTTTTCCAACCTGAAGGCAGCTGAAATATTTACAAAAATGAATACGAATATTACCGTTCATCAGTGTGTTTTAAAATCTGAAGCAATATTGATTATAGAGACATGAGTTTTTCTAAACCTTTGGTTCTAGTTCTGTATAAATCCATAATGTATAAGCACCTCGGCGGGGGGGCAGGTGTCATTCTGTGTCCATCGTCTTCCTGAAAGTGAAATTTTTTGTTTTTATCTTATAGCTATTAAATCACAGGCAGGGCTGACACGTTACAGTGACAGGAAGAAAGCCATGATATTGCTCGAGGCACTCAGTCTGCAATAGTAAGAATTATAGCTATAAATCTCCCTTGCTGCTGGCTACTGAATTCCTGTCATGGTAGAGACCCAAGTCACCTATACTTTTTCCTGCCCTTTGCTTTTCGCTCTCAAGCGAGACTTTGTGTGTGTGTGTGTATGTGTGCGTGCATGCGTGTGTGTGTGTGTGTGTGTGTGTGTGTGTGTGTGTGTTTGAGACAGAGTCTTGCTAGTTCTTGAGCTCACTTTGTAGCCCAGGCTGACCTCGAACTCTCAAGGATCCTCCTGCCTCAGCCTCCCGAGTGCTGCGGTTACAGGCGTGTGCCACCAGCCCAGCTCTCAAGTAAGATTTAATAAAGGCGGTTCTCTGCCATTCCTAAATAGGCTGCTGTCCTCTGTTTCGCAGAGTTAAACAAGTAGTAGCAAGGGTGAGAATACTACTAATTTAAATAAACTCACCACGTTAGGGACAGCAAAGCACAGGCTTTAAAGACAAGCACATCTAGGTTGGAACCTCTGCTCCAACCCTTCCTTATTACATAACCTTTGGAAATAAATTTACTTGAGCCTGATGCTCTCCTGGATACTGAGGATAAAAAAGAACGTCTTTGCTGGACTGATGACTGGATAAGAGATATAGTGTACACAAAACACGTGATTCAGAGTATGAGGAGTTACAGAACAGCCTTGAACTCACTTTGTAGCCCAGGCTGGCCTCAGAATTACAGCGATCCTCCTGCCTCAGCCTCCCGAGTGCTGGGATTACAGGAATACGCCACCGCGCCTGGCTCCTAGCTATTGTTATTGGAAAACATTTATATTCTCTTGGACTTCTAAGTTTACTACATATGGTTTTTTTAGAAAAGCAGAAACATCTATATCGTTCAAAATACTTGCATGCTCTCCAGTTCACTCCCGTTAGCCCCTCTGACCCAGCACTGCTCGGGCTGGGGATGAGAAGCCCTTTGCAGTTAAGAATATTGGTGGGACAGACAGTAAAGCGATGTGCAAAATCTCCCCCACAGAGTCATGAGGCGTCGGGTAAAGGCCATCATGTCATTACAGTCCATCAAATCAATGCGAGTTCCTTCAAAAGCAGCTGCATTCCTCAGGACTGTGTTGTAGGGACAGCACACGGCAGGTGAGAATTCAGCCTCTCACCTCCGGGCACAACGATTTCAGTAGACAGACTCCCTCCGAGGGAAACTTTCTTCAACTTTGTCCTTATCAAGCAGAAAATTATTTTTCAGTATTTTCACAAACATCTCATCTTTTACTTTATCTAAGATGTTCTATCATTTCTGATTTACAGCAAGAGTAATAGTAAATTGAATGAGAAACTTCTGAGTCTCAGAAACTGGAATTCTCTCGGGAAATCCGGTAGCTTGCCATACTGGTTTCTTTT